GTTTATCCGGGGACCCTGTGGCATCTTCGTCTGGTCTTGCTGGCGTTGGTGTCGCACTAAGCGCTAGAGCTGAGGCAGCACTAATCGATTGGATCCCCATTAACAGTCGGTTATGTGCTGTTAGATTAGAAAGTTCCATCAAAGTGAGAAGAAATCGGTGTGAAAAACTATGTCTTTTCGTCATCTCCGCCTATGCCCTAACAGATTGCAGCCCGGATGCAATCAAGGATGAACTCTACCACCAGTTAACTGATATTCTCCAGAAAGTGCGTTCGACAGATATTGTAGTACTAGCCGGAGACTTGAATGCTCAGGTCGGGCGTCTAGGCACAGAAGAGAGTCGTTTAGGTGGCCGATGGGGACTTGTTGGTCGCAGGTCAGATAACGGGGACCGTCTACTGCAACTGTGCACAGACCACAACCTGTTTCTGGCTAGCACTAACTTTCGGCACAGTCATCGCCGATGTGCCACCTGGCGTCCTCCCTCTGCATCTCAAGCCTGGACTCAGATTGATCACATCGCGATCAGCTACCGCTGGCGTGGTTGTGTACAAGACTGCCGCTCCTTTTGGAGTACCTATCTGGACTCTGACCATGCCTTGGTCTGCGCCAATCTTGCCTTACTTTTCAGTGGACAACGAAGTGACAGCCACCAACGGATTGATGTTAGCAAGCTGGTTGCAACTTCTGTTGCAAGTAAGTATCGAACCGAGCTAGCCTCTAGGCTAGCTACCACTCCACCGAAAAGTATAGATTAGCATTGGTCGCAATTGCATGATGCCATGAAAATGGCGGGTACAGTCAGTTGTGGGTTCGCGAAACGTCTCGCTTACAAGCACTGGGTTTCTTCAGGCCCCTTACAACTCATCGAAGCCCGTCGGTCTACTCCGGGTGACCGTGAGTTTGACCACAAACGAAGGATGTTACGTAAGGAAATTGGGCAAAGCTTGCGTAAGGACCGAGAAGCCTGGTGGTCGGAGCGTGCTAATGAGCTGGAAGCAGCAGCTGCATCTGGTAATTACCGGAAGCTCTTCCAACTCATCCGAGCCACTGGCAGCAAGAAGTCTGGTGTGAGTGAAACAATCTGCGAGGATGATGGGATGCCAATCACTAACATCCATCGACGTCTTGGACGATGGGCAGAATTTTTCGAAGGGCAGTTCAACTGGCCTGCTGCTCCGGCAACATCGGTCAGACTGTCCTGCCCTCCATGGCCGGTGACGACTGATCCACCAAACGAGGAGGAAGTCCGCAAGGAACTCCAACTCTTGAAGCGTTACAAATCACCTGGCCCAGATGACTTACCTCCGGCTCTTTTTAAAGATGGTGGTGACTTTTTGACTAAGGAATTGACGACGTTGTTTACAAAGGTTTGGGAACTAGAGAGTGTACCAACGTCATGGAATGAGTCGATAGTTGTCCCTATCTTTAAAAAGGGTTCACGTCGTTCCTGTAACAACTATCGGGGGATAAGTCTACTTCCGATTGCGTCCAAGCTATTGGCTTCCGTCATACTTCGTAGGTTGTTCAAAACCCGAGAAAGATTGACTCGCGAGGAGCAGGCTGGGTTTCGTTCTGGTCGAGGATGTATTGATCATATCTTCACCCTCCGCCAAATGTTAGAACACCGCCATACTTATCAAAGGCCAACAATCGTAGTGTTTCTTGACATCAGGGCTGCCTTCGATTCGTTGGACAGGACTGTTCTCTGGGATTGTCTATTGAAGAAGGGTGTGCCTGAGAAGTTTATTAACATCCTAAAAGCCCTATATAAAAACACCTCAGGCAGAGTGAGGGCATACAACCACCTCTCTCCATTGTTCCATTCGAGCAGTGGGGTTAGGCAGGGTTGCCCAATCTCACCATTCCTCTTCAACTTTGCCATCGATGACATTCTGGAAACAGCTCTGATGAATGTAAGTAATGGTGGTGTGGATCTGTTGCCTGGAGAAAGACTTCTCGACCTTGAGTATGCGGACGATATTGTCTTACTGTGCGATAATGCCCAAGGCATGCAATCCGCACTTAATCAGTTGGCAATCAGTGTCCGTAGGTATGGTATGTGCTTTGCACCTTCGAAGTGCAAAGTACTTCTACAAGACTGGCAGGATTCTAATCCTGTACTCACCCTGGATGGTGAGCAGATAAACGTAGTCGAGAAGTTCGTGTATCTGGGTAGCTGCATAAGTGCTGGTGGTGGTGCGAGTGATGAGATCAATGCACGTATAGTGAAAGCCAGAGCGGCTTATGCCAATCTGGGCCACCTTTGGCGCCTTCGTGATGTTAGTCTGGCTGTAAAAGGTCGGATCTACAACGCGTCGGTGAGAGCAGTTTTGCTCTATGCTTGTGAAACCTGGCCTCTCCGAGTTGAGGACGTTAGACGACTCTCTGTGTTCGATCATCGCTGTCTCCGAAGGATTGCTGACATTCAGTGGCAACACCATGTCAGTAATGCAGAGGTTCGGCATCGTGTGTTCGGGCACAGAGATGATAATTCAATTGGTGTCACCATCTTGAAACACCGACTTCGGTGGCTTGGACATGTTCTACGAATGTCGTCCCAGAGAATTCCACGTCGTGCATTATTTGCCGACTCTGGGACTGGTTGGAAGAAGCGGAGAGGTGGTCAGTGCATGACATGGTGTCGTGGTATGAAAGAAAGCTGCAAAGGACTGGCTTCTGTTGGTCCTTCACGACTCCCTGGTTGGGGTCCGAGAGATGGTGCTACACAGTGGCTAGAGACGTTATCAGATATGGCTCAGAATAGAAGCCAGTGGCGATCCTGCTGTAACCTTCTTTTACTTTCTTCATAAAAAGTGGTTGTGTCTCCCTTACCTGAAAGATTTCTTCTGATTGTACCTTTCCGTTCCCTCGTTACTACCACACTACCTTACACCAATCTCTTCGTTATTGTTCTCTTTTTTTTCACGCTCCTTACATTTTTTTCTTTCTCTTCGAATTCTCATTGTTTTGTGTGGCGCATATATATTGGCGCTCTCTTGTACCAATATTCATGTGTTCAAATAAAATAAAATAAAACTCGTGAACTGCAAATACAAGAACCCGGTTGGCCTCAGACCTGGTCGAGGCTGCCTCGACTACATATTCACTATTCGTCAGGTTCTAGAACACAAGCATGCTTATCAGCGTCCGACAATGGTGGTCTTTCTTGACCTAAAGGCAGCATTTGACTCCGTAGACCGCGAGATTCTGTGGCAGTGTCTGTCATTGAGAGGCGTACCTCAGAAGTACATAAACCTTGTGAAGGCTCTTTACTCGAACACTACTAGTCGAGTCAGAGATTGTGGCGAACTGTCATCTGCTTTTGCAACCTCAAATGGTGTCTGTCAAGGCTGTCCACTTTCTCCATTTTTGTTTAACTTCATCATAGACCTGCTGATGGAAATAACATTCTCGTCTACTGAATTCTCGGGCATTGATCTCCTTCCAGGAGGTCCACTTATGGACTTAGAATATGCAGATGACATAGTCCTGTTTGGTGAAGACGCTGACAAAATGCAGGGTCTTCTGGTAGCACTAAGCAACAATGCCAGAATGTTTGGGATGCGCTTCTCTCCCTCTAAATGCAAGTTGCTGCTTCAGGACTGGTCTGCGTCAACACCTGAACTAAGGATAGGGAGTGAAGTAGTCGAACGAGTTGACAACTTCACTTATCTTGGAAGTCTGATCAGCCCTAATGGGTTGGTGTCTGACGAAATCTCAGCACGGATTCGTAAAGCTCGTTTGGCTTTTGCCAACTTACGTCACCTTTGGCGGAGGCGAGATATCCGTCTATCAATAAAAGGACGAGTATACTGCGCGGCAGTCCGTTCTGTCTTACTCTACGGCAGCGAAACATGGCCTTTAAGAGTAGAAGACACCCGTAAGCTACAAGTATTTGACCACAGATGCCTTAGAAATATTGCTGGCATCTGCTGGGATCACCGGGTAAGTAATAGTGAGGTTAGACGCAGGGTATTAGGGAATGATGGTAAATCAGTTGATGAGGTTATGAATCTTCATCGACTGAGATGGTTGGGCCACGTATTACGTATGCCTGAACACCGATTACCACGACGTGCAATGCTAACCGGTGTAGGGGATGGTTGGAAAAAAGTTAGGGGCGGCCAAACCAAAACGTGGCATCAGTGCTTGAAGTCACTAACTTCTAGTCTTAGCCATGTTGGTAGATGCAGACTACTTGGTTGGGGTCCGCGTGACTTTCGTAACCAGTGGCTAGAGACTCTTGGTGACATGGATCAGAACCGATCACAATGGCGTAGGTGTATACACTCTTTGGCTCCCCTTAAACTGAGATTGGAATCTTTCTACGAACTAATTCTTTTATATATTACTACCATTGAAGTGACTACTATGAATTCGGTGTTCATCTTGTTGTGCTAATGAGGTATTGCAACTTGGACCGATGCACATATGTGCCTGGTCCTACGTTGTAGCTGACTGACTGACTTCGATCGTTGACGGAATTAGAGTGAGTCAATACATTTCCCGCTGAAACCTAAGAATAATCCTTAAGTTCTAAAAGCTGCGCGACCGTTAAACACTCCAAAAACAAAGATTATACATCAACAGATAATTTAGTAAACCAACATTTTTCGGTTAGCCTTTTGTTGATGGAGGCCAACTATCACTGAGTAGACGACAAAATTTCAAGTTACTTGCAATATCTAAATGTACCAACCTTTTGTCTCCTGAAATCACGGGATTTGTGGTGCTAATTATTGGTTTTTAACCGTGATTTCTCCAGTATTTATGATAATTCTCCAAATTCTGCGCTTCATTATACAACTAACCGTAAAAGCTTACCTACTCATCTGTGTGCAGGATTTTACGCTATGACTCGCCTGTCATTAGCAGTGGTTAAAAATGTCCGACAATAAAACTGAATAAGCCACAAAAAGTTATTCCACGTATGAGTTTCGGAATACTTGGAAATTAAATAAACACACTTCCCTTTAAAAAAAAATCGGAATACTTACGAATGCCCATCTTCATCCAACTGCTTTGCTACTATCCTTATCTACAGAAGTGAGATAACGAATTATAACTCACCATGAGACAGTAGGCGTAAGGGGATCTCAAAGTAGACCGAGTAAACTTTTGAATCATTTTTGTCACAGCAAGTCGATCAGATTGACGAATTAAATACAACAGACCAAGAGCATGATATTGTACCATTATACGAGAGCCCGATGCAGCTTCTTGTACTTCATTCGTCCATCTTTTGATTATATCCGGACAAACATCCATTAACTTATATGCTGACGTCAACACAGCTGATGCTATTGCAGGAGACTTATCTACTACAGCCTGTTTTAGGTAGCGTTCAATACTTTGGACCATCGCTGCCTGAAAAATAAAATCAAATTGAACCTGGACTTACATCCGTAATAGTGCAAAGCGCCCGAATTGCAGGACCTCGAAAAGCAATTTCTGGGCCGGTCATATCTTTAGTTAAGCTAGGGAGGAGTAGTTATTATTCGAGAAGGTACCTGCTAGTAACAATAATCACGTCATCGGCAACAGCAGACAATTCTTTAATCACTAGGTAAAGCATGCGACGAAGATTTTGCTGAAGACAAAAGTTAGGATCAAACAACATACGTCATTGGATTGAAACAACTTGGTCATTGCGAAAAAAGCATCCGTTGCCTCTACCTTCCCCAACTTTTCACTCTATATATCCAGTTTAAGAATAATGAATTAATTTAAACCTGCTCCAAAATCACTAGAATTTTAGTCAATATGTGCACACATTTCCTTGGGTTAAGTGTTGTTTGATTAAACAAGCGGGCCTAAAATATTTATATACAGAGAGAGCATAAGTTGCAAATACTTCTTGCAAAACCACAGATTTATCCAGCTTAGCATACACTGCTCCGTAGCCTGGAAATAGACAAAAGCATTACATGTGAGGCACATAAACACCAAGTCGCAAAAGACCAATGATGAGGCAACAAGACCTTCCTTACCTTCTTCCTCTTCTTTTTTATCTTTCCTCTTAGAGCTGACATCAAAAAAACGAGGCCATGACGCGTCAGGCAGTTGAAGACCGCGCGCTGCTACGACAGTATATCTACAATCCTCAATCGAGGTCACGTATAGTTATCGATGTCCTTTAAGATCAGTCTTTGTGGTATAGAAGGTTGTTTGGAATTGAAGAAAAATATGAGTTATGGTACAATCCGTTGGGAACTTTGGAAAAGCAACAATATGTTAGTAAATTCAGTTTCTGTTCGGAAAGGACATGATCCAACTTTCTTTTAAAAGCGTTGACAGATGGAGATTCAGTCACTTGTTGAGGTAATAAATTACACTCGTTGATGGTCCGAAGGAGAAGTCGGTATTCATCTGACACGTTGTTTGTCCTGAGCTTGTGAACATTTTAGAATGTACTCGTAAACGATGTTTTGGAAGAAAAGAACAAGGAAAGCTTATCAGATGCAAAGTTATCGCTAAGTAATTTTAAAATTATGATAAATTCACCTCTGGTTTCTTGTTACGACAAGAGGAATAGGTTTTTTAGTTTAGTTAGTCTGTCATCATACATGAACTTTGCGACTCTGTGAATCAGCTTAGTTGCTGTCCCTTGAACCTTTTCCAATATCTCACGTTCTCTTTTCAGGTAAAGGCTAGCCCCTTGTGTGCAATACTCAAGTTAGTGCTAAAGAACACTGTACACAAAGTGTGAATGGTTAAAGCGTTGACATGGGTAAATTTCCTATGTAGTGACCAAAGGGTTCTAAATAATCAACATCTATCACATGGCAATTTGCAGTAGTTTTTAAGTCTCCGCTAACAATGGATTTTAAGTTATTAAGTGTCTGAACGACAGGTAGCTCACTCTGTATCCATTCCTACCTTGATGACCGATGCGCAACATGATACACTTGAAAGCATTTATTCTTGAATAATAAAGCCAAAAAACCTTAATTCGATCCCTCTATTCCCGAATTCGGTGTCTCAAACACAACATTCTCTGAAAAGTAGATTACTAGACGATAGAACTCGTTACAAAAAGTAAGCAAGGTGTTTATCTCAGTCACTTTCATCTGTAGTTATAAATAAGTCACCAAACAATATTACTGTAAGTCTTGGACATTGATCCTGATCTCATTAATTTTATTGGACACACTCAAGCTGGATGTACAGGGTCACGCATTCGCACCAGATCACGAGCGAGTGTGTTTGGCTACGCATCTCTTACAACCACTAACCAACTAAGACCAAAATTTTCTCGACATATCGACAACATCCTAAATCTTTCTTCCAACACTTCCATTTCTGACTTCTTGTTTGAGTAGTTTGGTACCGTTCTTTCATTAAAGCGTTACAGACCAAAGCGTTTTATAACATCGAGTATCTAGTGGGATATTTACATCCGTAGTGGCTGGACATGCTTGCGAATTCGCACTTATTAGAAATTATAATGAACCCATACTAGTAAATCACTGTTATCCTCCTAGTAACTTCGTATTCATCATAAATACTTATGACCGACAAGTGTGTACTTTTGCGTTTTTTACCATTGAGTGTTCCTATTCCTCGTATATTTTGTGTACATTATATTTGAATAATTAGAATTCTTATTTCAAGACTTATACTAAAAGATGACGATTGGCCAACCACTAACTGTGCACCTTATCAGATTACACTTGCTGTTTGTTTACAGATGTGAATGTGGGGAGTGTATTCATCTGAGCATTTTATATTTTGCACTTTTGACAGTGGCATAATTCAACGTTATACACTAATTATGTCATTAAATAAGAGAGAAAGATTAGTTCAGCGAAGAGTTCTCTTTTCGGCGAATTCATTTTCAAAGCTGTACAACTGCAAATATATATACTTATTTTTACAGGGTGATAATAATACTGATAATAAACTTCTGTTATACATGGTGATAGTGAGGTTAAATAAACAAAGGTATTAAAAAATTTTAAAACAAGGAAAGTTTAATAATCGTTTGACAGTTAGTGGCTTAAGTATTCATTGGGTAAGGATGGCTCAGCATGATAAAATAAAATGTTGAAACAGAGATGAAATGTAACCGGAATGATCGTGGAAATAAAAACAAACCGGTTGGGAGCGAAAGATTTGAAGGGAAGATGGAAGGTGAAGCAGGTGGCTGTAAGGGAACAAGAGTATGAAGAAAGAGAAAAATTTTAATACATTAAGACCATGGTAGAAGAAGAGGTTGTACCAGTCTCTTTTGTACACATAATTCTGGTTTTTCAAAATGTATGGCTATTGCCTCGGCAATGCAAAGAAGATGCAGTCTAATTGTCTTAGGAAGGCTTCTACTTACCTTGTAGATGACTTTGAACGCAGAGCCTGTCTTGATTGAGTGACCTGTGTTCACATGGTGTTCGATTATAGAACGTCTTATTGAGCTGTTTCCTCCTCTTTTTAGCCACGCCGGACAATGTTCTTGAATTCTTTTGGATGTAGTACGCATCGAACGACCTATATACCTAGCTCCACAAGAGCAGGTAAATTGGTAAATGCACATTGAGTTGGTCAGATGCGATAATTTATCTTTCAGATTATTGGTGAACAGTGATCAGCTGGAGAATAATATTCGCAATGTTGCTGCGAAGAATGTTTTTTTAAAGAGTCCGAAATTCTCCTCTTTAAGATATATGTGGCTCTATCATCTTTGAAGTCGATGTTCATGTATAAAATGTTCTTTTCTACTGTAATTGTTTGTGGTTTTGGCACTTTCTGCTTCAAGTTCTTATCAATGAATATAGAAGGATATCCGTTTTTGATAAGTATCTCTTTTAAAAGGCTCGATTCTTAATCTACGACCTCAGGGCTACAGATTCTTTGTATTCTTGTGGCGAGAGTTATTATTCAGTTTCTTTTTCGGCTGATGGGAACCCAACTGTGGAAATTTGAAAGTTGGCCATTCCACATGGGCTTCCTGTAGATAAATCTATAAAGGGCGGCCTGCTTGAGCATCTGGGCTACCTGTTTCTGCCATCTAGATATTTAAACAAGTTATCTACTCGCGCGCTATTTAAAAAGGACAGTGGTATTTTTCCTCGTTGAGTAAATTTCATTGTTTTGATCGTTTATTACGTATCAAGACTACTGCTTTCACATTAATTGAATTCATTTCAGTTAAAGTATTCGACTAGAGTACCGTTGTCTACCGCTCTCTCAATTGCTTTTGTCGTTTGTACTCTTGAGTACCTCATTTTCAATTGTATCTGTTAGTACTTTTGGTCCCAACAATCTACAGTTCTTCACTTTTTGGTCATAGATTATGTTTTTGTCTCTGAGTATCCTTTTTGAAGACGACTCCTTTTAAATGACCGAACAGTGTAAAAAAAGTAGTTGCCAACGTCCGGATTGTCGTTATCCCGTTGAAAGCGGCATGTAGTGCGACGAGTGCAAAAGCTGGTACCACGAAGTTTGCACGAACTCAACGCCTGCGGCTTTCAAACGGTTCAGTAAGAAGGGTTGCGTATGGCTTTGTCAACAGTGCTGTTCGGATGCAAACAGCCTGTTAACCGAGGCCCTCTCACTGGTTGATGCTGCAAAGAAGTGTTTTAGCAAGCGTAGTCGGAACACGTCAAACAGCACTCAATCTGTCGATACACAAACCGAAATGAAGCATACTAAGTATAATTCGATAGTAGATGACCTACGCGGGTCAAAGAAGGAAAAGCAGTCTCCAAAGGGGCCTGCCTTAAACAAAAGCTCAAGGAAAGTAGGTTCTTCTGTTCCCCGTCTCCCAGATGGGATCCTACAAGAAACGCCTAGAAGCCGCAATCGCAAGGCTCGATCGGTTTCAAGCGGTAAACATAACCTGACCTCTCAGGTCGTCGACAACTCCCCAGAATCCAATACTAGGTTTGACGCAACTGTTGTTTCTTCTCCCAGCACCGTTGACGAGTGGGTGCAGGTTGTAAGGAGGAAAAAATGTAGCGATATAAAAGGTAATCTTACCCCTGCGACAGTAGTCGTAAAATCGAAAGCTGATCAAGGCGATAGATCAGCTATTTTTCATAGAATCAAGGAGAGCGAGAGCTCTGAACCTAAAGCTCGTTTTGAGCATGACAGTGTGATGATTAAGCAGCTGCTTAACCAACTCATGCCTCAAAATATCACTGGGGTCACCTTGCTAAAGGTGTACAGACTAGGGAGTCTAGCGGACTTGAAACCAAATCATTCCAGACTACTTAAAGTAGTATTCAACTCTTCGAACGAACGTGACCTAATTTTACAGAATGGACACAAATTAAAGGGTTCAGGAGTCTTTATACGAAAGGACGTACCGTTGGCAGACCGAAAAAGAACTACAATTTAGGTTAGACGCTGGCGAAAAGGACCTAAAAATTGTAAATTCTCGGGTTGTAAGGCTTCGACAGAGAATGATGCCGAAGCCGCTCTGGGTGAAGCACGAAGCCATTTAAATAGGCTTCGGATCTGCTACACTAATGCCCGGAGCTTACTTAATAAGCGATCGGAACTAGGTGTACAGATTGACTCTACAAAGCCAGACATAATCGCAGTTACAGAAACCTGGCTGACACAGGCTATAGATAGTATGGAACTTGATTTCGAGGGTTTTACGTTAGTAAGGGCCGACAGAACACAAAAGCGTAAAGGAGGGGGAGTAG